TATGTGGAGTCACTTAGAATTCCATATGCTTTTGTGGTTATGTGGTGGGTCAACTGGGGGCCGAGAGATCCCAGATTGTCGTAAACTAGAACACCTCAGTTCTCCACATGGCCAGCTCAGACTTCCTCATGAGGCAACTGAACTCCAGGAAGGCAAGTCCCAGCATACAAAAACTTCTCAAGCTTTTGCTTACATATCTTTTGCTGATGACCCATTGGTCATCAGCAAGATGGTCAAACCCAGAATCAGTGTGGAAGGCAAGGATACTGGGAGGCCTGATTCATTGGAAGCCATCAGTATAACAGCCTATCACACCTGGACAATTCCCATTCATCTTCAAAAGTTCAGTTCATATCTCACCTCCGAGAGGTGGATTAGTCATCAGTTGTCCCTCCTTGGACTCCCATAGTACCCTACACACATCCCTACCTCTGCACTAATCCTATTGTTTTCTAATTATATACCATTTCTGTTTTCCCCATTGGAATAAGCCTTTGAGGCTAGAGATTATGTTCTATTAATCTTTGTATTCCCAGACCGGTGCCTGTTGCTCAGTGGGTAGGGTGCAAACCACATATACCGAGGCTGATGGGTTCGAACCCAGCCTGGGCCAGCTAAAACAACGACGACAGCTGCAACAAAAAAAATTATCCAGGCGTTGTGGTGGGCACCCGCAGTCCCAGCTACTTGGGAGGCTGAGGCAAGAAAATCATTTAAGCCCAAGAGTTTGAGGTTGCTGTGAGCTATGATGCCACGGTACTGTACCCAAGGCAAAAGCTTAAGACTCCATCTCAAAAAAAAAAATAATAATAACCTTGTATTCCTAGGTCCTAGCCCTGTGCCCAGAATATTATCAATGCTAACAATGTCCTTTAATTATTTGATTAGTTAAACATCCATGAATAAGGTTGTTAAAATAAATAACTGTTGAAGATTAAATTATATTTTGATTGGTACTTTCTCCTCTCAACCTTTGCTCCATATTCTAAGAGATAATCTCGAGTTTCTACTTGTCATATTCTCCAACTAAACATGCAATTCTTCAGAGAGACAACCTCACTTAGAAAGTCGACTCTTGGCTCTGCGCCTGTGGCTCAAGCGGCTAAGGCGCCAGCCACATACACCTAAGGTGGCGGGTTCGAATCCCCAACCCGGGCCCCGCCAAACAACAATGATGGCTGCAACCAAAAAATGGCCAGGCGTTGTGGCGGGCGCCTGTAGTCCCAGCTACTTGGGAGGCTGAGGTAAGAGAATTGCCCAAGAGTTGGAGGTTGCTGTGAGCTGTGATGCCATGGCACTCTACCCAGGGGGATAGCTTGAGGCTCCGTCTCAAAAAAAAAAAAAAAAAAAGAAAGTCAACTCTTCACTTAGGAATTGAATCTCCAATAGAGATTAGGAGATGCAATGGTTCTAAGGTGAATTTCATAGACTTAGTCATACTTTCAAAAAGGCTGAGAATTAATACAAAGTTGCTGATCCTTTTTTGGGGGGTGGGCAGGTAGGATATTAAATAGTTTTGAGTGTAGAGCCCATGTGTTTATACATATATACACACGTTCCCTTCAAAAAAGCAAAAAGGTACGAGTTTAGAATGAAAGTACAGGAAAAGCAGGTATGTGGTCTCAATTAACCAAAAATTAGGGCTGATTATTATGTGCTGCTTTGATATCTGATAAAACCGGGAGGACTTCAAATGGTCTAACTACAAGTTCCCTCCCCACTCTGCTAATAAGTTCCCCCAGCCACACAACTGTCTCTAGCATGGGACCAGGCAGCTTCTGCTTATCTGAAACTATTCAAACAGCTAATCTCACCCTCTTGTAGGAAACAGGTGACTTCCCTTCTTTTTTTCTTTTTTTTTTTTGAAACAGAGTCTCACTAAATCGCCCTGGGTAGAGTGCAATGGCGTCACAGCTCACAGCAACCTCAAGCTCTTAGGCTTAAGCAATTCTCTTGCCTCAGCCTCCCAAGTAGCTGAGACTATAGGTGCCTGCTACAACACTCAGCCTATTTTTTGTTGCAGTTGTCATTGTTGTTTAGCTGGCCGCATCCAGGTTCGAACCCACCAGCCTCGGTGCATGTGGCTGGCGCTGTAACCACTGTGCTACGGGCACCAAGCCACCTTCCCATCATTTTGATCCTAAGAAACCTGCCTCCCTCAGCTCCTGGTTGTTCCCTGTTTCTTATGCAGCTCCGATCTAGCAGTTCATGGCATGTAGCGTCCTCCTCTGGGTTATCAGTACCTGTGACTCATGCACTGCTCTAGATCTCAACTGTCCCATGTTGGGTGTCACATGCTCAGCTATTTCCGTAACAGTTATGAATCTCTCCTTCATCAATAGTGTGAAGAGTAGGAAATCAAAACAAGGTGGCAACCTGATAACTATGTTCAGAGTATCCAACTTCATCCTAGTTTTTCTTATTTCACCATGGACCAGTAAAAGTGGTCCAAGGATCCACGCTGGGAGCACTGTATACAGAGTCAGGAGACCTGAGGTCCACCTTGTCCTGGCCATGCTCCAAAATATTTGTCTCACTCTTGACAAATCATTATTCTTCTTGGACCTCAGATCCCAGCTGTAAAATCAAGGGGCAGCTTCTTCCACCCCTATGATTCTACAAAAAGTTTGATAAAACCAGAGAAGAGGAATGAATGGCTGATAGTGTTTAGGTCATCTGAAAGGAATGTGAGTGTTTGGGGGAGTTTTTATCCCCATGTGTCTATAGCTAGAGCAATAGGAGGCAGTGGGAAATGAGATGTCTAAGGGATCAGAAGGGTAGCGACAGGCTGGAAGGAAATAGCTTTGGCTAAATTTCTCCAAATGTCTGCTGCTTTCAGCACTCCAATCCTACCCATAAATAACATAAATGGGGGTTTCTAAATCTCCTCCCTTCACCACCCTGTGTACCATTCCAGATGCCAGACATCTCAACTGAGCCACTGATTCCATCCAACCAGAGACCTTGTTTTAGTAGACAAAATGGCCACACCCTCTATAGTCTACGTTCCCTTCTCTTCTGCTCTCTGAAGGTAGAGTGAGTGCTTGGGGACCCAGAAATTAGGCCAGGTCCTCATAACCTTATCAAAATAGTACTGCTAGGCCTTCCACACAGCAACACTCAGAGGCAGGCCACAGAGTGGGAAGGGAACATCCAGGGCCAGGACGGCCCAAGCCCAGGTACTTTCTGCAGTTACAAGGTCTCTGAATGCCCACATGTCCTACCAAAGTAAAAAAAAAAAAAAAGGAACCATCTCCAGCCTCTACTCCTGCATGTGTGTGTTTAGAGCAAAAGAGAAAAAGAGAGAGAGAAGGGAGGATTTGGCTGGCTCCAAGCTAAAGCAATTGTGATCTGATAGGAAAGATCCTTGGACTGAGAATCAGAAGCTGTTAAGCAGAAAGGAAAGTACTGCCGTGGAGTGACAGAGAGAAAGATGGAGTGTCCAGAATGCAACAGTAAAACGGACAGGAAGAAGGGGTAGCAGAGGTCAGCAGCCCGGTCCTGCAGGGCCCTGAAAATTACCCTGTGAACAGTGAGAAGCCAGATTAGTACACCTGTGAGGAGGGGTGCTCTAACCAGATCAGTGTGTTAGAGTACCCAGGCCCCAGGGAGCTGTGGAAAGTGCAGGCTCAGTGACCCTTGTACTAGATTAAGGTGGTCCTAGGTGGGCAGAGCCAGCTGTATTTTTCACACATGCCACAGGATCTTCTGTGGTTTACTAAAGTGAATAGCTCTTTTGGGCCTGACCCATCCGCATAGCTCATTCCAGTTAGAAGGTCCCATCAGGGAGAGGAGAGTGCATCTCCCACTGCTCCCAAGGCTTCCAGCAGTGCCACTGCAGTGTGGTAAACTGCAGAGGTGCCAGGGCTGACGTCCATGAAGAATATAGGAGAATGGGCAGGCAGCCAGCCAGGAGGCCGGGCCAGCCCACAGAATGTTATGACCAGAATTCAAAAAGAGGCAAGGAGGATGTAAATCAATCAGACATTGGTTAAAAAAAATTCATCCCAGTTGTGAGTGGGAGACAAAACTCAGCAGCACGGGCTGTACAAAAGACCCAAGGGCTTTTAGTGACATCAAATTGATGGACTAAAAGGGGTGCACCAGGGATCAGGAGCTGGGTCTCAGCCTATTCCTTTCCCAGAGTTCACTCTCTCCTCTCCTGGGCTGGGACCCCCCAAGTGGGGTGGCTCAGCCCTGAAGCCCTGGGGTTCCACAGCCTAGGTCACTTGGTCAGCTCTCAGGCTTTCTCCCCAAGAAATGAGATGGGGAGGTTGATGGGAGGTAAAGGTGGCTGTGGATGGAATGTGCCCAGCACAGTGCCTGATAAAAAAGGCAAGACTCCTTCCCCAGTCTGAAGACCAACCCAACACGGTGGCACTCATGAAACCAGAACTTTCTAGCTGTGTGGATAGGAAGGTGCCAGCCCAGGAGCTGAAGGAGACATCAATGTCCCAGAGCAGAAAGCATCCAGAGGGCTGTGCCCACAGGGCTGGGTGCTCTGCAATAGATAAGGGGGGAGGGCATGGCTGGGGACCAGGGACAGGGAGGGTGCGATGGAACCTTGCTTCTGAAGGACTGCTCCAATCTGTAAAACACCCGGTCAGCTTCCTTTCAGAGAGACTAGAATATTCCAACACCAAGACCTCCCACTGCAGGTTCTGAGGGAGGTGGGCCCCTGATGAAAGGAAATGCGGAAGCGTGGGCCCTACCAAGGTAGCTAGTTGCCGGCCTCCAACCTGCACCCCTCACACTTTGGTTTCCCAGACTTCTCAAGAAGAAAGGGTTACAGACGTAAAAGCTGAGTAATCATTTTCCGCGCTGGGCAGGTGGCTTGCGTTTCCACCCAGATCTCTGTCTGCGCTTTCGAATCCTCCTCCTGAATCCTTCAGTTCCTGGCCAGGCCTGCCAGCTTCAGGGTGAGGTCCCCTTCTGCCGCAACACCCCACCCTCCCACACTAACAGGGGACCGCCTCCTCCCTTCACCCGCCAGCCTCTCTCCCGGCTCCGCCTCTGATTGGCTGAGTCCCCTGCCCTCCCCGCTCCCCCTCTCCTCCACCCCTGGTGAAAACTGCGGGCACCAAGTGAGGTACAGCAACTGGAGGTGGCGGCGAGTCCAGGAGGAGGCTGCAGCAGCGGAGGACCTAAATCGAGGTGGGAGCTGGAGCCAGGGCGGGACCCCGGGCGCAGGGATAGCCGTCCGGCACCCCTGAAAGCCCTCCCAACCTGAGGCTTCGGGAAACGGTCCGAGGGCCGTGGGAAGCAGCTGCACAGATCTTGGGGGCTGGGGGAGCGGGGGAATCCTGCTTCACAGGCAGGGGCGGGAGTGGGACCCTCCTGCTGGGCAAGGGCTGCGCCACTCACTGCGCCTGGCCTTTGGGGAGAGGAGCTCCCGAGCTTTCACCTATTGGGGGACGGTTTTCTGAGGCCAGGGCGCTGGAGAAGAACCGGGAGGGAGGGCGCAAAGCACTGCCTTTGGTTCTGCTCCCCCTCCAGACGGTCCCAAAGCCCAAAGGTGGGGGATGGGGACTGCAGGTGATATTGAGGGGGGAGGACTGAGGATGGCTAACTGGAGGGAACCTCTGCCCAGTGACCTCTTGGCAAGCTGGGAGCACCGGAGGAAAAGGAAACCGCAGTGCCACGGGCGGGGACTGGGTAGAAGACAGGCCGACGGAGGAGGGGAGAACTGAGAAAGGATGATGTGTGAGGGGGAAGGGGACCTCAGCTGGGAAAGCAGAGGATTGGAATATGGAAATAGATAAGGGTGGGGCTCGCGGGGAGAAGCTGGAGCAGAGAGGGAGCAGAGAAGCGCAGCTTCTCTGGGTCTGGACCGTGAAGACACAGGGCGGAGTAATGAACACAGACTACAGCTTCCCAACAGCTCTCTACCCCCGCCTTTGGCTCTACTGTCCCCTCCAGCCGCAGACCTATTCCCCCCTTTCTCGTTCTGGCCGCCGCTCCCCCTTCCCCTCCTAGATCCCAAGCCTGCACCTCTCCTCCGTAGGCCAGCGTCCTCGAATCAAAGCCAGACGCCACCCCTCTCCTTTCCTCCACAGCAGCGCGCCTTGGGATCTGGCTCGTACTAGCAGCTCCCTCCCTCCACCCCCGCGCAGCCCCCGGACCTTATCCTCACCCGCCCTGAGGGTTGAGCGCTGAGGACCCTGAACTTGTCCGGTGGCGCGCTGCGCATCCGGGCGCGTGCAACCCAGGCAGGGCCCTGCGCACACTCGCAGGCGCACGCCCGTCCTGTGGCCTCTCTCAGGCTTGCAGTGCTACTGACAGACTGGACTATTTGCTCTGTGTCACCTCACCAGGATGTTGGTCCAGCCGAGGCCATAAAAAAAAAAAAAAAGACAAAGCAGAGAGCCTAGGCAGGAACGCTATTGAAAATGGACTGGAAAACAGCAGCCCCAGAACTCCAGAGAGATGACATTTAGAAGCATCCTTGTGCAACGGGAGAGCAGTCACTTTCTCTCACACACATTCAGGAACACCCTTAGCTTGTGCCCAGAACAGGCTGATCTGGGAGCATCCTTAGCCACCCTCCCTAACCCTTCACATCTGTGTACCACTTGCTATGGAGCAGTCAGTGCCAGATGTTTGTTGTTTTCTTAATCACCATCATAACCCTGTGGGTATGGAAGGTTCAGGAGAACTCATTCATTCACTCACAGTACTTTGGAGCACATTTTTTATGCCAAGGACTGTGCTGATCACTGGGGATTTTCTTCTAAACAAGAAACAGGAAATCCCCAGATTGGGGGGAGGGGGGTTGTTTAATGGTATAGAGTTTTAGTTTTGAGAGATAAAAAGAATTCTGGAGATTGGCTGCACAGCAATGGGAATGCACTCAGCACTGCTGAACAAGCTGAATGTAATACTTACAGGGTTAAGGGTAGTAAATGTTATTTGTATTTGCCACAGTTTAAAAAAAGTTTAAATAAGAAGTTTCTGCCCTGATGGGTCTTACATTCCTAGGTAAGCAGAGGAGAAAGTAGGAAAGTCACTTAAGTCACCAGCTAGTAGTGCTCCACAGCTAAGCACAGACACTGGCCGTTATGGGGTATGTTTTTCTTCCTCCCACACTTTCCCTAAGGGGGAGAGCCAGTGGCAATATCACATTCTAGTAAGAAGTGGGGAGACAAGGGTAGACAGAGGGGCTGAGATGTCTACCATAGCCATGTGTTCCTGGCACCCCCAGCTCTGGCAGTAAGTGTGGGCATGCCTGCCTACCTCTTAACTGATTCCCATCCTGTTCCCACCCCAGGTCCAGGAGACCCCGGCACCATGCACCCAGCCATTGGTATCGCTCTCCTGTTGACAGGTACTGGGCAAGAGGTGGGGCTGGGATCCAGGTACCCAGGCTTTCTTCCTTTAGCTAGCTTCTGCCTAATGGCCTCAGAAAAGTGAAGGTGACTGAGGGACAAAAGGCTCTTTTTCATCCCAGCGTCAGCCAGTCCACCTCGCTGATCTAGGTGGTTTCTGGAAACAATTTGCTGAGTGTTGCCCCACATTACTGAATGGAACTGTCCAAATGGGAACCAGGAACCTGTGTTGAATTCCCAAGATCTCTTGCCCTTGAAACACATCGACAGGACTCAGGGCTGGAGCAGACTAGGGAGGGAGGCTGGAGTCTGCAGGTGGGGAGATAGGCTGGGATGGTTGGCATAGGAAAAGCCATTCACACAGCAGAGAGCCCTGTGCCCTCGCTGGCCAGGCCCATCTCTTCTCTATGTGGGTGGGAGGCCCCCTGCTCTGTAGATCTCCCCTGACTCGGAAGGGGCACTCCTGGTTCCAGTTTTGCAGGTCTCCCGAGGGCAGAAGGTGACCAGCCTAACAGCCTGCCTGGCAGACCAGAGCCTTCGTCTGGACTGCCGCTATGAGAATACCACCAACATGCCCATCCAGTACGAGTTCAGCCTGACCCGTGAGACAAAGAAGCACGTGCTCTTTGGCACCGTGGGAGTGCCTGAGCACACATACCGCTCCCGAACCAACTTAACCAGCAAGTACAACCTCAAGGTCCTCTACTTATCCGCCTTCACCACCAAGGACGAGGGGGTCTACACATGTGAACTCCGTGTCTCTGGCCAGCCCTCCTCCGTCTCCTCCCAGAATGTCTCTGTGCTCAGAGGTGAGGCAAGACCCCAAAGAGGCCAAGTGCTGGGAGGACAGCAGGCAGCTTACTAGGCTGGCCCCAAGCAAAGAGTGGCCCCGTAGCCCCCTCACCCTCTCCCAACTGCTGCCTCGTCTCCTGGGGATACAAGGCCTTCTGTGTGAATGGAAGGAAGCACTCAGGGCCAGCCAGCCAGGCAGAGTGGTATAGTAAATGCTTCCGCATGACTGCAGGCAAGTCACTCGGCCTACCCAGTGCTCCTTTTCCCCACCTGGAAAGCAAAGATGACACCACCTCCCTCACCCACAGTCTCCTTGTGACGAGTTTTAGTGAGGTTTCCTTAAGATGATGAGGGCTCAGTAACCTGCAAATGGGGAAGATGGCTGGTTCTCTCAGACCAAGCTAGTCCTGGTTGCAACTGACACCCAAAGGGACTTGCTCTGGCCCCGTGTCTGCCTGAGTCCTGGTCCCTCTTCATTCCCATCTTGCTCCCCTACCCCATTCTCTCTCCACAGACAAACTAGTCAAGTGTGACGGCATAAGCCTGCTGGCTCAGAACACCTCGTGGCTGCTGCTGCTCCTGCTCTCCCTCTCCCTCCTCCAAGCCACGGATTTCATTTCCCTGTGACTGCTGGGGCCCGTGGAGGATATGGGAAGGCGCACATCCCAGTGCAGAGATCCTACTTCTCTGAGTCAGCTGACCACCCCCCTATACCTCACACACCTCGGGGAGAAATGGGGACCCCACCTCGTATCAGGAGTCCCACTGCTGCATGCCATTATCTACCCACCTCCCACTGCTACCTAACCCTCTCCGCACACCCCTGGCTATCTTTTTGTACTCTGTTCCAGAGCTGCTTCTATCTGGTTTATTTAGGGTTTATCCTTCCTTTCCTTTGGGAGTTTGTATAAAGGGAAGCCAGGGCTGGGGACCTGGTGGAGAGTGAAAGCATGTAAGGGGTAGTGGGATAGAGGGTCATCCTTGCCTAGTGGGACCAGAGGCCTGACCTGGATGGGAGGTGTGGGACGTGTCCGGCCTAGCACAGACATGGTCTGTGGTGAAATCACCCCCAGTACGCAGTGCTGGCGCCTGAAGACCACAAACATGAGGGCACCACCAACATCTGTGGTCCATCTGGGGAGGGAGAGAGCTGAGTGCCTGCAGGAACATTCTCAGCCACAGTGAAAAAGCCCTGTCTTACCACTGGGGAAGCCCCCTGGGGACCTTGGCCCGGGGCACACCCCAGAGAAGATTCAGATTCCCCCCCCAAAGAAGATTCAGATTCAGCCAGAGGATCTGCGTCAGTGGGGGGCTGGAGAAGGGGGTAGAAGGTGAGGGTCCCTCACTCCTCCCTTCCCGAGGAAGCTGAAAGTGTGAGCCAGCTGTCCCTCACTGCCCCCACCAGCAGTGAGAGGGCCGCACAGAAGGCCAAGCCCCTCCCAGGCTGTCTGAGAGCGCAAGAGCTTCCAGAAGTCAGGTAGGGTAGAGTCCCAGAGCCACAGGGAGTCTGGTCTAACCTTCCGAGGGAGTTGGTCTTCCCTCACCGTCAGAGCTAGCCTGAGCCCCTCAGCTACCCCCTGCCCCACAGGCCTTGCCTTCTCAGTGACCTCTGGGGGGGGCCTGAGGCAGTCGTGATGTGAGACCCAGGAGCAGGACACTCCTTGGGTGATGGTTTTCCCAACCCCTGGCTCCCTACCCGGCAGCTCTGCCTGTCCTGTGACTGTGTGTAGTGCCACCATGGCTTATGGCATCTCATTGAGGAAAAAGAAAACTGCACAATAAATCTAAGCCTCTGGACTCTGTCCTTGTGTCCATTCCTGCTTCCCTCCCCCGGCAGTGCCCAGGCCTGCCTGTCCCCCTTAGCCAGGTGTCTCCATGGACAGGAGGTCCAAAGTGCTACCCCACCCCAGGGGCAAACCACTGCATTGCTGGCTTTTCCAGAATGAAACTAACATGACCCATTTGCCCAGATAAATGAATATTCCACGTCTGCTGACTCACCTGCCTGGAATGACAGACACCGGCCAGCATGTGGGCTGAGCCCCCTGGCCCTGGAACATGCAAGCGGCTTTGTGTGACCAGGCGCTGAGGGGTGGGGTCTGTTTTTTTCGCCTCAGCTTTGGTTGTTTCTCAGAAATGCCACCTGAAGTCATGTGCTACCAAAAGGACAGAGACAGGCGATGTCTGTGTCTCCAAGGCATTATTTCTTAAATCCAAAAGCATCAGCCAAAGGAAAAACTGAGAACGAACACTGTCCCTTCAAGGAGTAGGATGGGAACCCTGAGTTCCATCCCTGGCTGCTCCCCTAAAGTGTGAACGTGCATCACGGGTCACCTGGGATTGGAGGCTAGGACAGGTTCACAGGGCAGCTATGGCTTCCAATTACTGCTGGGGAGTGAGGTAACCTGTAGCCAGACTTCTTTGCTTTGCCAGGGAATTGGGGGGAAAGGGAGGGCTGTCCAGAGGCTGACTCATTTGGTATTTAGCACTGGGTAGGATGATTCTTCTGAGCATTTTTCTTAAAGGCCCCCGATCTAAATTTATGCCACTGGCTCCCACTCTTCCTGCTGCCTCCCTTCCCAGCAGCCCCTGTAGCTCCCATGCCCAGACAAGGCAGGAGAAGCCCACGGGGGGAGAAGCTGCCCACATTCCAGACTGGGAGGCCCATGGCCCTTTAGCGCAGTACAGCCAACACAGAGCTCTCCAGTGGGAGAGACACAGGTCCCTTGTTCCACCGTGCCCAGGAAGAGTGTTGCTGAGAAGAGCCACTGTGGAGGAAGGGGAATCAAATGCCAGAGAAGCACCAGAACCCCATTCTTACAGTAGTAGGAGTTAAAGCTTGGAGGTCTTTCTGGGAGGAGCTGGGAGGCCACGTGCAAAAAGCCTCTGGCACCTGCATGGCATCTCCCATGGGGGTCTTTATCACATACTGGCACCGTTCCCCTCAAGAGTTTAGTAGCCACACTCTTAGAAGGGTGCTGGGGAGAAGCTGCCCTCCACAGACACATTTGGGGGACAGAACCTGAGGCCCAGAAGGGGCAGAGTTAGCTTAAGAAGCCACTGAGGCCACGAGAGGACCACAAACTTTAAGAAAGGAGAAGGGGAAATAGGCCATCAAACCTCAGAAGATAAACGACCCCCCAAAATAGAATGATTTTGAAGTATTTCTTCTTTTTCTGTTGTCTATAAGATTTGGCATGATCTGTTTTCTGAAATTATCTTTTATTTTTATTTATAAATATTAGTTGTCTATTTTTTTAAAACTTTGGGAAAAAATAAGAAGAAGTTAACTGCTGACTCCATACTGAACCTCAGAGTCAAAGCCTTCTATAATAGACATATTCTTATTTGGCAATGTGAATGTTACTTTTTTTGCATTATTATTATTGCTCAAAACAAAAAGGAATAGGAATATAGAAAAAATAAGTCACCCATATTCTCAAAGCCCAAAGAGGATAGCTACTGTTAATATTTTCATGTATGTCCTTTTGAAAGAAAATAATGAGTTTTAATTTTTTGTTTAAACAACAAAAAGATAAACTACCCAGAAAAGTCTCATGTGGCTGGGGTGCTACAGGCTTTCAGCAGCAGGCTTAGCAGCCAGCAGTCCCTCTCTAGGCAGGTCTTGTGGAGGCCATGGGATGTCAGTGGGGACATGGGTCCCTGTACACTCCCAGGCCTCACTCCATCCGCCCCGCCCCCGGTCCTCACCTCTCTCCTCTGTCACCCTCAGCCATCTAAGGGCATGAATTCTTGCTCAAGAGCAACAGAGGCCCCTCTCCACAGCCCCATTTCTGGATCAGATTGTCCACTGAGACAGGCATTATCTGCGTCTGACACCTGGGCCTCCCTGGGGAAGCCCAAGGGTTTCCCCGGGGAGGCGTGGGGTCTTCCACTGGCCAACCAAGAAATCCACAGTGTCAGGGTCCTCCTTCAGCCCCCTCAGTGTCAACGTCCACCTCCTCTTCGAATGTACAACTTCCATGCTGTGACAGGCATGTCTGCTTTTATATGTACAAGAAACAAACCCCAAGTCAAGAATAAATTGTATCCTCACCTAGTCACTGGTGAGAATGTGTTGAAACTAGAGTCTCTCAGAGTCCTGGTGAGATATGAAGGTCATCGGCTCTCCTCTCCTCAATCTGGGAGGGCTTTTAATAGCCCTAGGACACCCTAGGGCTGAAGTGTCCTTTCAGCTGAGGCCTGAAAGATAAGACAAAGTCAGCCATGGGAAGAATGGCAGGAAGTTCACCCGGGCAGAGGAACAGTAAGGGTCCACAGGAGTGTCTGGAGATGTTACTGAAGAGGTAGGCAAGAGTCAGATTCAATAAGGGCCTTGAGGGCATGGTGAAGAGTTTGGGTTAGGATTAGGGGAAATATTCAAGGATGTGATCTAATCATGTTTTTGGAAGATCCCTATTGCTGCTCTGTGGGAACAGATCATCAGAGAATAACAGCATAAGCAGGAAATTAGGACAATATTACAATTGTCCTAGAATAGATAATGGCAATTGGACAAAAGTTGTAATGGTCAAAAAGAAGTGGTGACTTTATGATATTTTCAGGCTTAAAACAGAGGACTGGTGACATTTGAATAAGGTCTGTGGATCTTGCCAATGTCAATTTCCCAGTTTTGATATTGTACTATAATTACAGTAGAACCTCTGTAAAATGACCACCCAAGGGACTATAATAAACCAGTCAACATACAGAAGTGGTCAGCATAAGGAATTAGGCCTACTTGTACTGATAAGTCCATGTGGTGCATGTCTGGTCTATGAAAATTAGGTCAACATAAGGAGGTGGTCAATGTGAAGAGGTGGTCAACTATGGGGCTTATACTGTATATACCAATAAAATGTTACCATTGGGGAAACTGGATAAAGGGTACATGGGTCCGCTAAACTCTGTAACCTCTGTACCTCAAGGATACTGACAGGACCCCTCCATACAGTTTTCTAAATTTCCTATAAATCTGTAATTTATTTTAAATTTTGAAAAATGTATTTAATTCTCAACATAATAAAAAAAATAGCAAATATTAACTCCAAAGGAAACAAAAGAGAATAAAAGAAGTATATCATAATTCATAATTATATGGATTAGCTATGAATGATATTTATTTGGTAATACTAATATAAATACTTGCTATGGTATAAGTGTTTATAACTTCCAAAATTCAAAATTCTTACATTGAAATCCTAACCCCCAAAGTGACAGTATTTGGAGCTAGGGTCTCTGGGAGGTGATTTGTTCATGAGAGTAGAGCCCTTACAAATGGGTCTGACACCCTTATGAAAGAGACCCCAAAGAGATCCCTTGCCCTTTCCACCAAGTGAGAACACAGCAAGAAGATGCTGTTATTGGACCAGAAAGTGGGCCCTCAACAGACACTGAAACTACCAACACCTTGATCTTGGACTTTCCAGCCTCTAGAACTGTAAGAAATCATTGCTATTGTTTATAAGCTACCTAGTCTATGGTATTTTGCTATAGCAGCCTGAACGGACTAACATACCAATGAATAGTGATTTTAGATTTTAAACAAACAACTGCAATAAAGTTATATAGGAGGGCTGGGCATGCTCATACCTATAATCCCAACACTTTGGTAGGCTGAGGTAGAAGCATCACTTGAGCTCAGTAGGTCAAGGCTGCAGCTATACTCCAGCCTAGGCAACAGTAAGTACTTGTCTCCAAAAACAACAACATAAAAGCTATATAGGAAGTTGGGAAAGGATAAGTGAATGCATTTGTTGGGGAGGAAATAAGAGAGCTAAAACCATATTTCCATAGTTAAAAGTCAATAGATAATACCAAACAATGAAAAATCAAGAAATTCCTATATATACACACATACATTAAAAATAGAGGTGGCACCTGTGGCTCAAAGAGTAGGGCGCCAGCCCCATATACCAGAGGTGGCAGGTTCAAGCCCAGCCCTAGCCAAAAACTGCAAAAAAATATATAATAATAATAATATTTTTAATATATAAGTAAATAACAGAAGAAATAATTAAGGAGTTGAGAGTGCTTATTTTGGGCAGTAAGGATTTAGCATGGAGTAACAGACTGCTTTTACATTATAAACCTAGTAATACTTTTTGTCTTTATAAATGTTTTAGCTTGCTAAACAATATATATCAAATATATCAAAGAATATATATTCACACCTGGCCAGTTTAAAAAAAAACAGAGATTTGCTTACTGGTGGTAGTTTGGATCTTGAGAGGGAAATAGAGGCTGAGAGGGATTATGAAGGAATTTAGGATGACCTCTGGGGTTTCGTTTGAACAATGAGTGGGTGATGATGCCATCTGTTGAGATAGAAAAGGCTGGGAAAGCATCAGGGTAGGAAGAGGATATATTAAATCTGTGATGTCCCTGAGACATCCAAGTAGAAGAAGAAACAAGAAAACAGCTAGGCATTCCAGTCCTGAGCCCAGGAAAGAAGTCGAGGTTAGAAATAAAAATGTGGGCTCAGCACCTGTGGCTCAAGTGGCTAAGGCGCCAGCCACATATGCCTAAGGTGGTGGGTTCAGATGAAGCCCAGGCCCGCCAAACAACGACAGCTGCAACCAAAAAATAGCCAGGTGTTGTGGCGGGCGCCTGTGGTCCCAGCTACTTGGGAGGCTGAGGCAGGAGACTCGCTTGAGCCCAGGAGTTGGAGGTTGCTGTGAGCAGTGAAG